AGCATCAACATGATAACAGACTGCGATTAGACCAGTACACAGCAGAGTTCTATTCTTCTTTTGAATTCTCCCATTTCTTCCCTCCTCCTCACCATGTCTGATTATAATCTCCACCCTGAGCCTAGTCTTTTTCTGATTTGTCTCATCTCATCTACTCTCTACTACATAATGAATTCACATGGCCGATTAAGACTTGTATCTTAACTAAATCTCAAGGCTCTGAATACACCTAGACTTAGCCCTAGGATTTTGTTACAATGAAATTCATGAACTCATAAACTTTATCTGCATTCTGAGTTTGAAAAAGTATAGGGAAAGTACACTGGAGTTTATTTGAGAAACAAATACCCAAGGTATTGTTGAATCAGTAAACTTTTTCCTGTTAGACTAGAATGTTGACGCTTGAAAGATGTTAAATATAATAGAGACTCAGCCTGGTAGCATCATTGGTAGCAAGCTGCACTAAAGTGCTAGAAGTCACATGGCTGACCTTGGGTTTGTGTCCCTGGGTCAGCCTGAAAACACACCAAGTACATTTGTGCCCAAGGTCCTGAAGAGCTGAAGGAGAGTCCTCAGGGAAGAGGAATGTGGTGTCACAAGACCCCACCAAGAATGTCCCTGTCTCTGGCTCAGTCTTTTTCTCTCCCTGGTGCACATGCATATGCTCACTATCATGAATAAAAATAAACAAGCTTTTAAAAATAAATGTTTCAGAGTCCAAGGCACATTCTACAGATGGGAAAACTGAGGTCTAGGAGAATATGGGATTTTCACAGGGTCATACAAGCACCATGTAGTAATAAAGCCAAAAAGGGAATCTTCCAGGCCTTCGGGCATCTAGTCTAGTGCTTTTTCTACAAGTCTATATTATTTCTTCTGATTGAATATATATTGTAATGTATTCAAAGAAATGCCCTATAACTACTAATTACATTTGTCAACACTTAACCAACAGCTGCCTTCTCCCACAGGCCTTGGGACTACAGTCTTTATTCTGGAGAGACTTTTGTTATTGAGCACATGTGCTCACTGGAGAGATGGAGACAGAGAAAGAGAGAGAGAGAGAAATCACCCCCAATGGGGATAGCCACACTGCAATCCCTTCTCCATTCTCCTCTCAGGATTTTGGGCACACAAGCACATGTGTCCCACATGAATTTCAAGCCACCAGTTCTGGTGCTTGAACCATGGTCAATTACTTGGGCAGACCAGCACCTAACCACTATGCCACCTGTTGGCCCCCAGAGTCTATCTCTGTCTCTCTTTTCTCTGTTGCTGCTGCTCAGGTTTGGCTGAAATGAGGAAGCAGCTGGCAGCATCTGACTCTGGGATATAGGCTGCACTCAGTTAAATCCAGGCCAGGATACCTCCAAGCCATGATCTTTTAGGGAGTAGAGGGTCAATGTGCCCCCTTAGCCTTACAGGATAAAGCACTCAGTTTAAGAGAAGAGAGATTTGCTAAAGGGAAAAATAGGGTGGTAATTTGAGTGTGTGTGTGTAGGCAGGAATCTTGGCCACCTGAATATGTCAGGATTTGATTGTGTTTACCCTATTCCGACTTCATCTACCCGTTCCTCTGTTCCTAAAGTCCTAGCGAGAAACATCAGCCTTGAGGGCCCCAGAGGCCTGACTAAATGTGTGAAACCAAGTCGATGATTTGAGGGAATAGACCTGGAACATAAGATTTATATTCTGCAGGATAATATTTTATTGCAGCAAAGGGAGAGGAGAGATCCTAAAAATACCACAGAGGGCATATTATAATATTCTAATGGGGTTTATGTGCTCCCCATGTAAGATGGCTTGTGAATTTTGACAAATCTATATTTAACATGGGGAGAATAATATACCGTGTATGCTTCCTGGTAGAGAGATCCATATTTATGAAAATCTTGATTCTAGTAATTATAATAGACATTTAAAGACACTGCCTATTATGGGCTCTGAACGGCTAGAGTGTCCTCATTAGAGTGAAAGAGAAAGCAGTGTCAGTAGTGGAGAATATATAACTATCTTAGAAGACAGCGACCCAGGACAGCAGAGCAGAGAGTCCAGGGTGACCCGACAGTCCACACTATTTGGGTCCTGTTCTGCCTCATCCCCTAAGGTGGGTCATATGACTCTCTCATTAAGCATTCATTATTCATCTATTTTTTTCCATTCATTAAATATGTATTGAGCACCCACCATGTTCCAGGTATCCTGCTGCTTTGGGACACAAATGAGACCTCTCTTTTCAGGAAATTTACACTGGCCTGAGCAGCACCAAATACATACAAGTAAATCAAGACTATTACTTCAGATAATAATGACAAAAGTATGGGACATAATACAGGGTAATATGACAGTCACTGACGGGGGTAAGGAAAGGAAGGAGGGTCACTAGAAGAGGTGAAGTAGGAATGCTGGTCAAGAAGGTGAGACTTGAGCTGAGACACAAGTACTGATCTTTGCAAAGAGGTGAGGGGAGAGCATTGCAGGCAGAAATGGAACAGCTAGTACAGTCTCTCAATGAATGAGCCCAGGGCCTGGAGGAACAGACTGCAGGGCAGGGTGGCTGAAATAGGGAGCTACAAGAAGGGTGGAGTCGGGTAGGTGCAGGCAGAGGGCAGGCAATGCAGACTCTGTGTGAGCTCCCTCTTCTGGCTCCTGGGTAGAGAACGGCTTTCATAAGTAGAAAGCAAATGCCATGAAGCTCAAGGCCATGTGCACCCCTTCATCTACCAGCATGGCTGTGGAGTAGGGTAAGAGCAAGTGCTCCATGAGGCTCTGGTTTCAAGGAGTGGTCGGTGAGTGGACCAGGACCTTGCAAGGTGGCAAGTGCCCACTGACTAGACATAAGCAGGAGATATTAATGATCAACTGCCAGGCTTCCTATAAATGATACGCTGGTTTTCAGAGGGAGTTAAACAGATGTCTTATTCTGCTCAGTTGTGATCTTTAAGAGACAAAGATCTTTAAAGCCTGTTATTTCTAAGGACTAACTGAGAACTACAACTCACAATAGACAGTTGGGTACCCATAGTTAACTGCATTCTTTAGGGCAGCATGCCCTTAAAAAATCTTAAACAACAGGGTAGAAGTATTCATCAAAAAATGGTCCTGGGGACAAATAGATTTGACAAAATTGAGGTGACAGGATTCCTCACTGCCTCTTACATAGCTAGTATACAGTATGAAACTCAAGATGAGGCAGGGTATGCACTGTTTGCCAACTTTATTTGGCCAAAGAAGTCTTTTCTCTTTTAAGAAGCAACTTGTGAGGCCCACATTTCAAGGACCACATCTGGATGGTGCTTACATTGCATAATCTGGGATCTCATACTTACAAACAATGTGGGGTTATGGAAGTAGGTGGTGTGGTAAAGAAAGCAGAGGATCTAAGAGCATTCACTTTTTTATTTTTTATTTTTATTTATTTATTTATTTTGGAGAGGTTTTTGCCATAGGGCGCGTGCGCTCGCCAGATAGACAGAGAGAGACAGAGAGACAGAAAACGAGAAATCACTCCCCAGGGTGGGTGGCCATGCCGCAATCCCTTTTCCTCCATTCTCCTCCCGGGATCTTGGGCATGCACCCACACACACCCAGTGTGAGTTTTAAGCCACCGGGTCCGGGCCGCGAACCGCAGTCGACTACATGGGAGTCCAGCGACATAGCCATTACGCTAACTGCTGGTCCCTCACTTTTTTATTTTAAAAGAAAAAATTATTAATACCTATGGCACAGGGTTTTGAGGGGAACTAAATAGCCTAATATATACAAAAGGACTACAAAGCACTTTAAAATACCATTATTTTTGTGATGAAGATGATTGACCTTCCTAACCATCCCACTGGGAAGGTAATTTTCAGGTATTGCTGATAGCTTTGGAATTAATCCCCTGACTGGGGTAAAGGCTATGGACTTTATCACATAGTAAAATGAAGTTTAGGAGCTGATCAACCTGGAGTTTGATCCTTTTCCTTCTCTTATTACAGTTATATTCTAAACAGCAGTATATTCATTTGCAAACCAGGATTGGTAACTGTACTGGGAGCCTACAAAATGGATCCTGTGGGGATGTGCATACAGCTAAGCTATTACGATGGCTGATACACTGGGGTGCCTGAAAATCAGCTAGCAGGATGTACAAACACAATGTGAACATCAGAAGAGAAATGTACACTGAGAGCTGAGGGCTAGGCTGGGAAAATCAACACTTGTTTTCTTAAACATGCATCAGTATCAGAACTGGCAAATATCCTTCTTCCTGTGACATCTTTTAATGTTTTGCCTTTAAGTGCTAGACGATGTCATGGAAAGATCACTGGGTTAAGAATCAAGACAGGGTAAATGGTATGATGGTTGAAGCACTGGACTCTCACATGGCCAACCATGGTTCGAGTCCTAGACCTGGCAGCTTGCTTTGCTTGCTCTGCTTTCTCACTTTCTCTCTCTCTCTCTCTCTCCCTGAGCACATGTGTCCTATAGCAAATTTAAAAATAAGAATAATAAATAGAACTAGATAAATAATCCTTTAAAATAAAAGTCAAGATATCTGCATAACTCAGATATGTCCTACCTGTGCTGCCTTGAACATGTTTGTAAACTTTCTGAGCCATGGTTTTTATCTTTTAGAAAATGACCTGTTCATCTCTTTCTTACCTTAACAAGGTCTTTTTTGAGATAAAGAGAGGTAATAAATGAAAATGCTTTGTGTACATGACTACTATAATTAATGGTGATAACAACATCTGGCATGTAATAGGCACTGAATAAACACCAAATTTAGACAAATGGAGTAGGGAAGTTGGACAAATGTACGCATGAGTAGGATGGACAGATGAATAGAATGAATGGATGGTTAGATAGATTGGTGGGGTGAAAGGTTAAATGGATGGATGGATGGATGGATGATGAGTTGGATGGATGGACTATTGGATGGATTTATTATGGAGCCATCTGACAGCTCTTTTGCAGCATCTTCTATCTAATAATCCTTATTTTTCCTCTTCTAGTCTGTTCCCAGTTCTCTAAAGGAGTCTATGCCATCTTTGGGTTTTATGAACGAAGGACTGTCAACATGCTGACCTCCTTCTGTGGAGCCCTCCATGTCTGCTTCATCACACCAAGTTTTCCTGTTGACACATCCAATCAGTTTGTCCTTCAGCTGCGCCCTGAACTACAGGATGCCCTCATCAGCATCATTGACCATTACAAGTGGCAGAAATTTGTCTACATTTATGACGCAGACCGGGGTAAGCCAAGGGTTAGGGGAGGGAGACTATTAAGGGATGGAGAGGAGATTACTGTCAGGAAGGAGAATGATGCCTCATTGCTTTATTCAAAAGCATGGGGAATGATCTAAAATTCTTTATTTCTGTGGACTTATTTCTCAGTAGCTAATCGCATGATGTGCAAACACACTCTTTGAGAGAGTAATTGTCATGGTGCACCGTGTCATTCTGAAGTTCACTAAGCTTCCGTAGCTCCCAAGTGCAGATTCAAAGCCTAAGGACCTCAGTTAAAATGCTTGTGACTTCCATGCTTGTAAAGAATGTAGAGACTGAAGTTAGACAGACTTGGATCTGAATCTTGGGTTCTCTCCTCTAGTTGTTTTACTTTGGGCAAGCATTCTAGGCTTCAGTTGTACCATTGATGTGATGAGGACAGAATGCTCTATGCCTTGTCTCTATTGTGAGGGTAAAACAGTGTCTACCTCATGAAGATACTGTAAAGATGGAATGCGATAATGACTAGACAGTAGATGTTCAGAGCCTGCAACATAGTAAATGCTCAGAAACCTCTGTGTCACCTGCTATCATCATCATCCTCCCTCTCAGGGCTTCCTAATTCTGCCTGCCTTCAATTTTACATATTTTCCAAATGTCTCCTATACTTTTATAAAAATACTTTTTACTCATATTATTCCCATTTTCTGGAATGGAATTTCATGGAATGCACTTCCCTTCTCTAATCTACATATGTAAATCCTCCCCTCTTTTGCAGTTACTCAAATACTACTTTATTTTCTGATCTTCTCAATGGGAATTTTTGCGTTTTTTTCTAACCCCTGTAGCATTTGTATCATACTGTCCTATCTTCCCCTTATACACTAAATAGTCCGGTAAGAACTTAGTCATTACCAGTATAAATAAACAAACATGTAATGCAAGGCCTGGAAGTTGAGGAGTGTTTGTATTGATGTGGTCATCTATAGGAAATGTTGCAAAGGCTTTTGGGTAGAAGAGTAGCTTGTGAAAAGGTTTTTTTCAGGGGGAACCAGCAGTTAGCGTAATGGCTATGTCACTGGACTCCCACGTAGTCGACCGCGGTTCGTGTCCCGGACCCGGTGGCTTAAAACTCACGCCGGGCGCGTGTGCATGCGTGCCCAAGATCCCGAGAGGAGAATGGAGGAGAAGGGATTGCGGTGTGACCATCCCCCCTGGGGGGTGATTTCTCGCTTTCTGTCTCTATGTCTCTCTCTGTCTGTCTGGAGAGCGCACGCGCCCTACAGTGAAAATCTCTCAAAAAAAAAAAAAAAGGTTTTTTTCAGGAAGAGTTAGATATATTCATTTTCAGATGAGAAAAAGCCCACAGAGGGAAAGATCAGAACACCTCATTTTCTTTCATTTTTCCTTTCCCTTTCCCTGTTTTGATGATTTTCTTTCTCAGACAATAGCCATTGTGGGGCCACATGAAGAGACTGTTTCAAGACAGCTTTGGAGCATAATGAAACTTGAGGTCTAGAAGTGGAAAAGCTAGAAAAATGTAAAGGCTTGTGGGAGATCACCTCTGAGGCTGACAGAAATACTCACACTCTCTTAGGGGCCCTCATCTACCTCAAATTCAGACCTCGGAACTCTGCCCTTGTACCAAGGTTTAAATCTCTATGAGTCTCAATTTCCACATTTATAATATAGGAATAATAGTATTACCTAATTCACAGGATGAAGTGAATTAAAGAGGGGAAAGCTACTAGAACAGTGCCAGACACAGAGTAAATTGTCAGCAAATGTGGGGCTCAAACACACAAACAACTTATAAGGAAATGAAAGTTAGGAAGGTGTAACAGAACCAATCTATTGATGGTCCTTGAGACCAGTCATGATATTGGCCAAAGTAGAAGAGATTAGCTATGTTACTTAAAGCAGGAAATTATATATGTACAAAAGATTGATTAATAACGAAAGACCAAAATAAACCCATATGATTGGCAGAATTATGACTCCCCTTAAAGATGTCCATGAACTTGGGACCAGCAGTTAGCATAATGGCTATGTTGCTAGACTCCCACGTAGTCGACCACAGTTCGAGTCCTGGACCCGGTGGCTTGAAACTCATGCTGGGCACGTGTGCGTGCGTGCCCAAGATCCCAAGAGGAGAATGGAGGAGACGGGATTGTGGCATAGCCATCCCCCCGGGGGGTGATTTCTCACTTTCTGTCTGTTTCTCTCTGACTGGTGAGCGCATGCGCCCTATAGCAAAAAACTTCTAAAAAAAAAAAAAAAAGATGTCCATGAACTAATCAGTGAAACCTGCAAATCTTTATGTTACACAGCAAAGGAGAGTTAAAGTTATAGATAGAATATAGGCTGCTAATCAACTGACCTTAAAATAGGGAAATTATCCTGGATGGACACAACATAATCACAAAAGTCCTTAACTGTGGAAGTCGAAGGCAAAAGAGTTGCTATCAGAGTGATGCAATTTGAGAAATATTTGACCACAATTGATGACTTTGGAGACAGAGAGGCCATAAACCAAGACATACAAGCATTATGTAGAAGTTGGAAAGGTAAGAAAATGAATGTTCCCCTAGAACCTACAAAAACAACACACCTCTGCCGACACCTTGATTTTTTTTCCAGGGAGACCTATCTCAAACATCTCACCTCCAGAACTGTAAAATGACAGGTTTGTGTTATTTTAAGCCAGTAAATTTGTGGTAATTTGTTACAGCGGACATAGGAAACTAATTAATAAACCATCAAAGTCTCAAAGATGAAACAAAGACTTATAGCTATAAATCAGAAGAGAATAGTTAAATTCAGTACACACTTATTGAATATCTACTGTGTGAGAGAAATAATATTAGGTAGGGAGGATAAATCGAACATTCACAAATTTGGTCAACACTTATCAAGTGTCTGTTTAGATGGCAGGTTGGCACACTTAGTGAATAGTTACTGAATGCCCAACAATGATAGCAGCTAACATGTATAAATCCATACAGGTTTCAGACCTTGCTATGTATCAGATGTTCTATTGTTTCCATCACCACTTTACCTTTGAAGAAACTAAAGTTTTAGAGAAGCTAAGGAACATGTACTGGTCATTTGTATGTGTTGGGTTTGAGCTTCAGAGTGTATTTTTAATCATTAATTCTATTGCCTACCATGTTCTGGGAACAGAAAAGGAACCTAGATCCTGACGGCACAGAGTTCAACATCGCAGTCAGGGTTGCATTTAGTGGAACTGGGTGAGGAAGTGGGGCTGAGAGGAAATGGGAAATGGGAGCCTGGCAGAAGTGGAGTGGTGCCTACATATCTTGATTCTCTGTCATTTCTCTATCCTGCCCATCCAAATTCAGGCTTATCCGTCCTGCAGAAAGTCTTGGACACAGCGGCTGAGAAGAACTGGCAGGTGACAGCAGTCAACATTCTGACAACCACAGAGGAGGGATACCGGATGCTCTTCCAGGACTTGGAGAAGAAAAAGGAGAGACTGGTGGTGGTGGATTGTGAATCAGAACGCCTCAATGCTATCTTGGGACAGGTAGTGAGGCAGCAGGGGCTCAGGGTGGGTAGGGGAAATGATTCAGAAAAAGCTGGATGCACTTCTGCCTTGAGTGTTATAAAGAGTGTTCTCAACTAGGTGAGACTAGATGTTTTTCAAATCTCACATTCTGTAACTCATAAAATGTCATCGTAAAATTTTATTAAATATTACAAACAATGAGTACCTTGACATAGGGTTTCAAATAATTCTCAAATTGTTCACCAAAAATGTACCTCTATTGTTTCCCTTTATTGTTAAAAAACAAATTATATTGCATTTTCAAGTTAATAATGTGCTATCACATTAGGAACACAGGCATAGAGCCAGAATCCTGCAGTTAGCTCTGGACTCTGTCACTCTCTAGTCCAGGTTTGGCATCTCATCCCTTTGGCCCACTGACCTGATTTAAGAGTTCAAGGAAACAGCAATCTTTCTACTATTTCCTTGAACACACTCTTGTCTCTGTGAAATCAATTGATTGTACATTCTGTGAACAGGCACTGAAACCAACAATTTTTAGCTAGAAGTATCTAAGCTATGTTTTTCTGGACGCAGAATTGACACCTGTGTCTACCACAGAATTAACAGGCTTTTGTATATATCTCTTATTTTTTAAAACTGTATTTATGTATTCAGATGAGCTAGCAAGGAAATAGGTTTTCCAATTATTTCTTAATAGTGTCATATAATAAAAGATGGTCATTTTAGGTACTTGACAACATGACAAAGCTTGTTAATGGCCCTCAAGACCCCTGGGGCCCCCACAGGGGATCTCATCACGAGCACGGCAATCAATCAGAGGCCTCAGCAACACAGCAGGGAGAGATTTTGAAAGTCATGGATTATTCAAGGCATTAACTACATGCGTTCTAGTTTATAAAGTATAGTTTGGCCTTTGCTCTTGAAAAAAAGAAACCATAATTATAATAATAAATGAATTTTACAAGAAGCAAATGAATAAGAAACTAGCAAAAATGGTTTGCATGAGATGGAAGTTCTCTGGACCAAGTCAGGTATTTGAATTCTAGTTTGTAGGTGAGACAGTGTAGGGTAACATTTAAAAGTGAAGACCTAGGGTTCAAATCCCAGCTCTAGTGTTTATTAGCTTTGTGACCGCAGGCCAAGTTTTTCATCTTTCCACTCTTAGATTCTCAATCTGCAAAATGGGCATAATAATAATGATAATAAAACCATCTTTAGAGGGCTTTCGTGAGGGCTGTATCAATACATGTAGAGCACGTAGAAAGGAGCAAGTTCCACAGTAAGTGCTATGTGTAAGTATTTGACAACGTTAGCTATTCACAATGCCAACTAGTACTGGCTTCGTAAGTCACTTCCCTCTCTGGGCCTAAGTGCAATCAGCTGTACCTAAGATTGAAGTCTCCTGTTCTACAAATATGATATAAAAATGAGATAAGAAGTGAAGAATGTATTGAATGGTAATAAGATATTTTTTAATGTATGAGGATGCATATACTCACAAAAAAAGAGGGGGGGAGAAGAAGTAAGAGAGAGAGAAAGAAAGCATCCTATAATGGGTGTGCCACTC